ATTGACTGGCTTAACTCTTCTAGTGAATGTAACAAAAACAATACTGGAATTAGGGCAGCTGCATGACAAAAGCTTAGTGCTACGAGACTGTGCATGACAACAGCTGAATGCTAAAAGACTCGATCAATGCCAAAGTCATCAATACCTAAAACTGAATAATATAAATTCATTGTTCATGAAATATAAACATATTCATAATTCACTGATATATAAAGTTTAGATCTTCTAGCGAATTTATGGCAGAAGCTAAATGCTCTGAGACTGCATGACAGAAGCTGAATGATATGACACTCTATGGATGGTAAATCTACAACTTGTAGATGTCAACTTGTGGAAATATTGATCAGATTTACTCGCTAAATAGAAGGCATAGCCTTATAAATAATTAAGAAACTGTGCTTAACTCTTGTGATGAATGTAACAAAAACAAAATTCGAAACTTGAGCTAAGGCGGCTGCATGACAAAAGCTGATTGCTACGAGACTCGATGTAAGGTACATCATTGCTTAAGCTGCATAAACAATCTCTCAACACATCAAACCATCAACCAATCAATTTCGATAAGCAATGCTCGATATCGTCGATAAGCAATGCTATCGATAACTCTTCGACAACTTTTTTATCGATTTCGATAACCCTTTTATCGACTTCGATAACTTTTTATCGATTCCGATAACTTTTTATTGGTTTTGATAACTTTTTATCGGTTATGGCAGAAGCTAAATGCTCATCAATGCCACAGACTGAATAATATGAATTCATTGTTCATGAAATAGAAAACATATTCATAATCACTGATATATAAGTTCTAGCGAACTTATGGCAGAAGCTAACTGACAGAAGCTGAATGATATGACACTCGATGGATGGTACATCTACAACTTGTAGATGTTACCACTTGTGGAAATATTGATCAGAATTTACTCGCTAAATAAAAGGCATAGTCTTATGAAACGTGTGATTAACTGGCTTAACTCTTCTAGTGAATGTAACAAAAACAATACTGGAATTAGGGCAGCTGCATGACAAAAGCTGAGTGCTACGAGACTCTGCATGACAAAAGCTGAATGCTACAAGACTCGATCAGGTACATCAATGCCAAAGACTGAATAATATAAATTCATTGTTCACGATTATAAAACATATTCATGATTCACTGATATATAAATGCTCTTAGCTTAGATCTTCTAGAGAATTTATGGCTGAAGCTGAATGCTACAAGACTCGATGTAGACAAGACTCGAATTATATGAATTCATTGTTCATGTAATAGAAAACATATTCATGATTCACTGATATATAAATGTATAAATGCTGTTAGATTAGATCTTCTAGCGAATTTATGGAAGAAGCAAAATGGTCTGAGACATGACAGAAGCTGAATGATGACATTCGATGGATACATATATATATAGCACATCTATGAACCTTGTGGAAATATTGATCAGAATTTACTCGCCAAATAAAAGGCATAGCATATGAATGATTAAGAAACTGTCCAATTCCTCTAAGCATTGTGACAAAAGCACAAGATGAAACTTAAGTTAATGCAGCTGCATGACAAAAGCTGAATGCTACGAGACTCGATGTACATTAATGAAACTTGTGGAAATATTGGTTGCTAAGTAAAAGGCATAGTCCCACGAGTGATTCCAAAGCTTAATGCAATTTATTTTCCTATTTCCCTTGGTTTGCTAAACTCAGTCAAGACCAATATCTAGTGGTTTAATTAATTTATAATCATATAAGTTGCATTCTTCTCGGAATATAGGCTAAACTGTTAAGTGTGCCTTTGATTATGGTACATAAAATACATAAACAAATTTTGTTRAATATTTGTACAAGTGTTTGTGTTTGCTGGCATGACTCAAATTTCAAAAAGTATCTTGTTTAACCTTCCAGAATTGTCCAATTTCAGTAAACACACACAGATGACAGTTAATTAGCCTAGCTCTGGGCTGAGACACAATATAAATGCCAAGCGATATACAACAATATCATTTTCGATTTCTGACACAATGAAAATTGTTCTATTGCTAGTCGTTCTGCTCACTCTCGTATACGAAAGCACTTCGACCGAGGCAAAGGTCAATCTCAGCAAATTGCAAATTTGCCGGCGCAAAGTTCGAGCCAATTGCAGACCAAATGCCAAAATATGTGTACGCATCGCACGTAGCAATCTGTGTCAACTGAGGAGTTACAGTTGCAAACAAAGGTTGGCCGATTGCAGGGCAGCAGCCAACAACAATAATTCGCTGGCCCCAGCATGTGAGTTATGCCCTGTATATACATACATATATGCTAGTATAACACTCTCACAATCGTTAACCCTTGTGCCCTCTTTTGCCAGTTTATCAAAGAGTGAACAGAAAACTGTGCTCGAGCAACCGAATCAATCAAAGTTTGCCCTGTGCCAACACCAACAACAACAACAACAACAACTGGAATACTCCAATAATTTATGCATGAAATGTGAGCTGGGGGAAATTTCATATATGCTTCGCATTTGCATGTGTGCGAGAAACGGTAAAGTTGATTGACTCACATCTTGAATAATTTATGCCATCAAATATAACAAATATAACATTCTTGATAATCTCAGTAAAAGTTTGCCCTTGCTTAACATAAATTTCGTTGTCTACTATGTTAGGTTAACATGGCTGCCGGACATAACATAGAAAATGTTCATTAGAACATTTCAGCCAATGTTATTGAACAGTTTGCATAGTGATTTCGATTGTAATTATAACTATCAGCTTATTTATTATATATTAATA